ATGTTGATTTTCAGATCATTACATTTTCCATTCCACTGTAAAATTGATGTCGGAAGACATAGTGACGTTAAGCATTATTCAAGCATCTTTGATTTATTAATTTCTTAATGAAGCAATTAATTATTTGCACCTTCATCGCTTGACAGTCATCAAATCGCCAAACGATATTGATCTTTATAGTTTCACGCATCATATCGTTGACGTTAATTAATCTTCCTCATTGTCATTCGTGATTCCATCGTAAAAAGCAACATTGTGAGATTGATCGCCTGTGTCAAATGGCAATCATTCCTCGTAATCTATTGCCATTCCGAACCTCTTATAATTTCCTGTTAATGATACGTGTTGAATTTTACTATCACACTATTGTTGAATGAAATGTATTATGCGCTTAATGGTTCTCTACGTATAATAAACAGCACACTTTTTCTTTTACATAAAGGGTGTCGTTTCGAAATTAATTTTGTCGGATTAATTTTATGCGACATCGTAATTTATTACGTTATTACATGTAAAATAGAATAAATAATAATTGAAAGAAATATAAAATACGTGAAAAGAGAAATTTTCCTATATAGAAATATAATCTTTGTTGTTCTTTGCTGTTTTTTTTTTTCAGAATTTAATATTTTCTGTCATAGATTTTTGATATCTCTTATTTATTGAAAATTGATTTCTATAAATTAAATATTAAAAAATTATTTAAGTGTATATTACAAGAATTTTAATCAAATAAAATTTAAAGCTCATAATTTTTAAAGCTCATAATTTTAGATTAAACATATTAAAATTAAGTTTTATTATTTTTTTCTCCCCCCTTTTATTTTTACTCTTTAAATTTAAATTGTTAAAGTTATCTATTTTCCAACAGCTTAAGAGTTGTTAATATCTCTATTTTCAAATAATTTTTTTAATCTAACTTGAGAGAAGTTATATTGGTTTTGTTATTTTATACATTAACGCATACCGTAAAATAAAATGACCGTTGCAAATAAATTGTAAAAGCTGGTAATATTTTCTATGAGACAACAGCTCAACGACCATTTTCGTTTATTAAATCGTTTTTAATAAAGATCGATTGCAAGCGTTAGTTGGGTTGTAAATGAAAATCATGGTATTAAAAAGTTGCAGCGAAATGCACTGTGAGAGATCAATTTTTTATGGAAATAACGCTGACGAGCGCGTCAAAGTAAAATAACATTGTAGTTGTACAGATAACGTTTCGGGATTATGTTTGTGCAGCAACAGAAAGGTTGCACTACGGATTATTTTTTATGTACCTCCAGTTAAAACGGATAGATAGAAAAAAAATAATCTCGCGAAGCACGGAATTCTCGCTCGAAAATTGAAGATTGTCCGCAAATTGACCGAAAAAAGAATTTACGATGAATAATATATACTGGGGCAGTTCTGGCAACGCTACGTATAGATAAATTCCGATAGATATCTCATTGATTGACGTCGAATTCTAGCCGTTGGTACGCACGGCAAATACGATTAATTAATGAGACGATGACACGTAACCGGGCGCAGCTACGTGGTGCGACGTTCCATCGTGGTCAATGCATCCTGTTGACACGCGTGAACGCGTCCCGCATAGAATGCGCAGATAATCAGATTGAAAAGTATCATCCGACTATCGAGTCGCATTTGTTTATTTTTCATTTTTCCTGTTGTTTTCGCCAAAACAGAACAGTGCGATAAATTTATCCGCGCGATTGGAATGTCGATCGCCCGTCGTCGAGTGAATGTAATCGAATATTTGGACACGTCGCTATTAATCGGACTTCGAAGTTTTAAATTTCAAGAATTTAATGGACCGTCTATCGCATTAGTTTTCAATTTTTGCTAGAATTTATAGATGCACGTTGATGCATTTATACGTTAAGTAATATCCCCCTTTTATTGCAAATTGCGATATTATTTTTATATCGTATTAAATTTCTCGTGCATCCGATAAAGATCGAATATTTCTGGGTGCTTTTAATTTTTTATAAAAAAATGTATGATTAAAATTTAATAATAGAAAACTTATTGTTTATGCTAATATTAATGCTAATAATAATTTTAGCAGTAATAAGGAATTTGATATAATTGATTTAATATTAGATATTTCTTCTTTTTAAGGAATAATATAATAGGAATAATATAACTTTATGCTAAGAAATTAAGAAATAAGCAGAAATTCAATATTATTCACCTGGTAAGTATTTTCAGATAAAACATCAATAAATTGTGTCCAATTATAACCATAATTTTATTCTTTTAAGAAAGAAGCTAATTTTGTCTGAGATTTAATTAAGAATTAATTGAGTATTACTAATAAATCGCCTGATTTAATAAATAAAATAATAATAAAAATATAAAAGTTATCAAGCCAATATATATAAACTGCTGATGTGTCAAATTGAATTGTCATAGAGCCAATCGTTTTGCTTCTATTAAGTAAATAATGACTTTCCACTACAAAATGTCACAGTCCACTCAATCGTGTCATCGGCATCCCGTATTCAAGAAAATTGTTTCATTATCTGGGGTGTGCTTGAAAATAACTCAGTTTTACGCAAGCAAATTTCGTCAGTATATGCTAAATAAAGGACAGGTGACAATATCACGAATTAAATAACAAATCTGAAATTAAGCTCTTGTTTCTATAAAAAACGTATAATAAATAGACGTTCTAGAAATGCCAACTTGAAAATTCGATTTTGTGCGAAATATTAATAATTTTAAACAAATTTGCCGCAATATATCATGATACTATAACCGTATTTTTTTAAAATGAATTAGACATAAAGTAAACTGCAAAAGAATCTTCTATATATAGAAAAATAAAGATAATAATAAAGCAATAAAAATTCTCTCTAAAGAATTTTGATTTATATATTATTGTATTGATTGTATTTATATATTATTGTATTATTATTATTATTATATATATATATATATATATATTAATATACTAATATACTATTATACTGATATTATATAATATTATTTAGTTTATGAAAAATTTTTCTGATAGATGCAAATTTTTTGCATGCGGAATTCATGATAATACACAAAATAAAATAATAAAACGGGGAAAAGATTTTCAAAAGCCGAAAATTTGACCTGACATTCCGGAATTTCACCCATCATTCACCGTGAGACAATACATTAATGGAAAATTCAACGGACGGATTAAACGCGATCGCCGTGCATCTGGTCGATGTAATAACAGCAGGCTCGTGGTAGCAGTGATGCATTTGTACCATGGAGAAAAGCGGCAAAATACTATACGCGTTGAATATTAAGGCAAATGGCAGGAGAGAGAGAGAGAGAGAGAGAGAGAGAGAGAGAGAGAGAGAGAGAG